AACACTAGGTGCGTTCGCGAAGCTTACTTATCCGTACGCCGCGGTTTATCGCTTAAAAGTGATCTGCCGTTTCGACACGGATCGAATGAATCAACTCATGATTTCCCTAAAGTTTAGGAAAAGCGCTTAGTACCCGTAACCCGAGGCATGATCTTCCGGTTGAGAATTCTATGGCCTGGTTTGAGCTTCGCCAAACCATATGCATGTGATTCTCTGATGAACTGACTTACACGTTTTTGTCCGGTGCCCGACTTCCTTGTTGATTTAATGTACCAGTGGTATATGGCTTCCTGTCCCGTAGATTCCCTTCACTGTGGTTCAACTTAACTACTACTACCTGCGAGTATTGCACAAATTAGTATGTTTCACGAAAGTTACCCACCGATAATCTCTGTGTTTGTGTATTATACCATCTGATGACGACACTTCCCACGCTATACATATTCTCCTAATTGTTTGCAAAGAGCTGCTCGTAGCTAACTAATAATCACTCATCACATCTGTCTATCTGTTTGTCCAGTCATTCCTCCTTATATTCTGTCCCTCCGTTTTCATCATCACTTCAATTTTCACCCACCCACTCTTTTTATTATTCCAGATGTTGACGTCTGGTTGGAATACTGTCATTTTGCTATCAGTAACTACGACCCGAGTTCCGCAGAGTCTGCCATGGTGGCACAGGAAATATTCGAAGCTGCTTTATCCCATCAGGGTCTAAATGTGGCTTCCGGCACCGTCTTATGGGAAGTTTATCGGGAAGTTCAGTTCCTGATATTGGCTCATTTATCGAAGGTGAGTGATCAGAATCACTGTGGGATATACTTCTGCGTTTGGTTTTTCTTTTCCTAACGGCTGTATTCACTCATTAGTTTTCTAGCTCGTGCACAACATTACTAGTCCACCTTAGTGGACCATACTGATGAGCTCTAATAAGAGCGAGATTCGAGTCTAGTGCCTCTGAGTGTATGGTTGCATCGAGGATTGTGCGTGAAGGTGAAGTCTGAAGGACAGCCTGTTCAAATCAACAAAATATAAATACTCCTTGATGACACCGTACAACTAACCTTTCCATCAGTTCGGTTTACAAACCCTGAGCTATGGCGATGTGTTTCATCATCGTTCTGATCACATATTGTGCTATTGATCCAAATAGACTATTTCTTGTTTACCAATCTCCCTTAATCGTCCATACCTGCTTATTCCATAAGCGTGGACCTGCTCTATCCATAGTTAGCCATAATTTTGTGGCCGTTTTCCTCTTCGCTACATAGGGATGCATCAGGTAGAATACAGGTCAGCTCCGAGGGACAGATGGGTGAATCGGACTACTTGAAAATCCAAATATCCTTGCGGTAGAATGATGGTAAGTTGCCCAGGCTTAACCAGGGTAATTTTCTCGAGGGATTCAGAGTCAGAGGCTTCGACTAGTCAAAATTTGACTCACGATACCGCGGGACGGGGTTTGAAAACCCCAATCCATTCGGATCGTACGCCATTCGAACGAGATCCAACTTGCGATGACTATTGTTACAACCAAGAAGTTGGTGTGGTTCGTGGGCCTATTCTTGGTTCCTCGGGTATCAGTTTTTTTACTCACTCTTCTAGGTGAATTGCCGGGGTTTCACCGATCCGGTGATATCCCTCTATGTTGTCTTTTCGTCATTACTTTGGTCCGGAACTTTCTCAGTCACGTGGATTCCGTGAAAAGAGCTTTCTCAGGAGACTCCTCTTCCATACTGTAATTTATTAGAATTATCATATTTATTGTTTTTTTCTTATTCTTTTGTGCTCTACAGGATCCATCACAGACAGTCGATGAACATCTGCGACAGATGGACAAACTATTTCGCCGTCAATTACGCGTTCCGCTCATGAGTAAGTGGGAAGTGTGAAATTTGTTTGATCCTACGGTGAATTTTGTCGTGCGCAGAGCAATCGAGAGATGAGTTGAATAGCCAGGAAGCGCTGGTCAGATGTTTCGACTTGGTTTGGTTGTTTTATCTCGTTCAGAGCTGCCCACTCCAGTGCTGTTGAAATCTCACATTTTGTTTCAGACATGCAAAACACGCTCACAGAATACGAGGAATTTCTCAAAGGTGTCGGGTCCAGTTTGTACTCTTCCACCGACAACAGATCACCGGTCCCTCCAGATTGCATGGATGAGTACAAAAAAGCCACTGCCCAGTTGGAATCCTTGCTTGAATTTGAGGAGAAAATTGAAGTGAGTGTGGACAGATTTTTCCATTCTTATGCCTTGTGCGTTGCTGAACCAGTTTTGTTGTTCGTGATGTTTATCTCCTGTATCTAGTTTTTTAATAATAAATGTAAATTTTTTTTCTTTATTTTATTATTTATTTATTTACTATTTATTTATTTATTGAATATACAAATGTACAGTCAATATTCACGAAGCGGGGTCGCGACCATAAAAAGGCTATCTGGGAAGTATGATTACAGAATTCGGAAACTTTCTTAACTTAATAATGCATTATTTCCGAGGATAAACTGTCAAGTGCATCCTGCTAGACCTCAAGATGGGTTCCAGAGCAGTTGCTTTGGCAGCGCCCTTAAATAGCTCATCGATGATCAAAGCATACAAAAGATAAGCTCATACACTGGCTACATCTTTGTTTACATGTTCTATTCACTGCTTTCGTCAAGCTAAATACGGTCAACCCCTTGCTATATCGCACCCATAGGAAGTCGCATTTGCCATTTTCAGAGGCATCAGAACTGGTGCATCTAAACAACGGAATGGACCAATCCAAACTTGATACCCTAAATTAATTGAGCCATTCGCACAAGTTAATGACCGTCGACCGTGTAGCTCAGGGGTAATAGTTTGAGGTCCTGACCCGAATGTTCGCGGTTCGAGTTCTGACAGGGACACAAGAAGTAAACACTACTGACGAGTAACAAATAGGACGAGACAGCTGTCCAGTGCTCTTTGTCGATCATTTTCATCGCATTTGTTCAACATGTTTTCCATCCTGCTGCTTGCATAGAAAAAATACAGGTAAAATAGTTTTCCTCCACCTTCAGAATAGTAGTGGTTGGAATACTTTCGCACTGTACGACTATACTCTGTTTTAGCTCCTTGATCGTTCTCGGGTTTCGGGAATAATGCAATTCGCAAAATTGTTATTGCCTGTTACGTCTGTATCAATCGGTTTCAGTACTCATCAGTAAAAACAAAAGCGAACGAACAAATGGATGTCTACGGTACTCACTTTTCACGAAAAAAGCACGAGTACATTGCACATCGAATAATGGAATTCTGGGGTATGAAAAAGTAGTCAGTGTACTAGATGAATTCATCTGTTTTCCAATACCCGTTTTCTATTAAATTTGCTTTTGCCAGTTAGTTAAACATTAAGTCACGTAGGCATTAATAAGTCTGAATGGTCAACTTTGCTTCATGTTTGTGGCGTCAATTTGGCCAAAACCGTTGTAGATCACGGTGGTACACAATTTCGTGATTTCAGTTATATTCTGAATAAATGGGACATTATTTAGAATTGAAATTCAGTAATTGGATTAGAAAACTTACACCAAAGACAGGTTAGTTTTCGGATAAGTAGACATTTGAAACGGAAAAAGGGCTGACTACTGAGTGCACTATTCCAGTTTTAATCTGAGGGCATTATAAAATACATAACTTTCTTCCATAAACAGAGACTAATTCAAACTGTGTATTAAAATTCCGCTTAAATAAAATGGGAGATAGTTATAAGTAATGTGAACAAGTAACGGAAGTAACGTAGTTTTCACCCATCCTGTCTGTACATTTTTGTAACGAATATCTCATTTGACTTTTCATATTACCTAAAGGTATTCACTCTTGACTAACATGCTCTGTTGCAGTTTCTGAAATTTAACAGAGGTTCTGACTGCATATCAACCGCATCGCTTGGATATAATCTCAAAGGATCAAACAGCACTGCTCAGTTCGACTGCAGCGTAATTAGTTGGTCATTTAGCTGATATGCTCACCAGCTGATTATCGAGTATGCGAATGCTCCCTTGTCCTTTCAATAATCTGCCGCTTCACACAGTTCAGTTCAGTTCTTACAACCATTAACCATGCACTTTCGTGCGCCGGTTTTGATTTCTATCTTTTGGTTGCCCATTTGGATAAAACAGCAGAATGATGATTAGAATCTTGAGAGCAGATTCAATCGGAAGATGGCACATTGTCATGGACTGAAGTTACAAGCATATTGAGTAGATGCATGAGCGCCACTGCTTCACACACCAGCCATTGATCAAACGAAAAGTAGCCGTATTTGTACACTCACCGGAACTGTGTGTCTATAGAAACAACTGGTTTACCCATTGCAACTACCTTGGTCACCAGCAATGTCCCACACTCTGATTGCAGAAGTGGGGTGACACAAAGGTTCGCGGCGCGCCGCTCTCCGTCCATATCCCCGCTCCATGGTGCATACTTATAATCTTAGGCCGACTAGAAGACTGACCCTCAAAAAGCCAAGTCTATTTATTATCTGCCCCGGCTCGTGAATTAATCATTGCAAATAATTGTTTGCCCTTGACCGCGTGCTGTTATTTCGTAATAGGTGTATTCTAGAATTTCATTTGCTTTTACCAGCGCTTTTTATGCATACTCTGCTCATCCATATTACAGAATTACAGTTCACCTCATTCATTTCAGTGTATTTTACAATTACTTTTTAGAGTGTTTTTACTATTGGATACGATTATGTTCTCTTGCGTGCGACTTTTTCCTAGGCAACCCCAGGTTTCTGTCACTGCAGCTTTTCTAACCCGATCTGTTCATACATAATCACATAATCAAATCTGGTAAGCAATGGCGGATCCATGTTCCGCTCATCGGCTCCGTCCATTTCATTGTGCTTTCATTTTTGCAACTGCTAATTGAAGGTTCCATCATCCAACCAGGAAGACACGAGCGCATCAGTGGCCGCATGGGAAGCGTATTTAGATTGGGCTACTGAGAACACCCGTGGGAAAACTGGCAATGATGGATCAAATCCTAAACGGAGTCGTTCCACCAAAACGTCCACAGAATCCCCGATTCCGCCACTCTCCCCAAACCAAATGTGTTGTTTATTTGAACGCGCTATCACAGCTCACTGTTTATATCCGGCTATCTGGCTCCGGTTTGTTAACTATTTGGTACGTGCTCTTTTTGATATACAATGCACAATAATAAGGTCGTAGAGTGCAACAACACGTTGTAGTGGCATATAGATGACTGTTTCGTGTTTGTGATGGTTTGCGTTCACCTGCACGGTATCTAACTGTCAAATGCGTGACTAGCCAAATCTTTTATTATACCATTCAAACACTTTCCAGACAGCTTCTGTATCAATGTGGCTTGCTAACTGTTGAAACTAGTTTCGTACATCCCTGCGTAGGAAACTTAACTCATGGCTTTCCAGCTTCCTCGACTTGGCTAGCTGCCTGTAGTTCATCAATCCAAATCGATTTCTCTTCTCACTCCAGTGAGAATCCTCGCCACAGAAAGAGTGTAAGCAAATCTGCCTTTGGGGGGGTTACAAAAACTACACTCTGATTAAGTTTCTCTTGTAACGAGAACCTTACCTTTGGAGGAATTTTTGTGTAACGGAAAAGAGTGCTGTGTGTGTGTGACTCACTGGCACATTATCTCTTAAATATACCAATCGCGGTTGATAGCCATTCTGTCCCGGGTTTAATACCAGATAAATCATGCGTGAATTTCGCATTTCGTTAACATCATTAATTCCACTACATCTGTTTGAGCACTAGTTCCGTTTTGGTTTTATTGCATCTGAGCTGTTCTGTTCAGCCTCGAGGGTATATCATTTGCTCGCCAATGGTTCGCTCACTCGTGCATTTCATGTCAACTATCTGTTTTTCTTGCGTTCGTACTTGATTCGTTTCCACTGTTTGTCGTAACAGTAAGAAATGAATGTTAGCTGTTTACTTACGGGGCGGAATATTTCGACAAAATGATTACCTGAACTAGCCGATTTCCTCTTTTCCACTAGCTGTACGTTTCGCGCCGGTCGTAGATGCATTGATCAAATCTTCACCCTCCGACAGCTGCTTGAGCACCGTCATGCTTACCATAGACCAACAATCATTGTGTCCTAAGACATCCACACGGCCTTGGACTCTGTCGATACGACCGCACTACGGAACTGTTTGTTGACGAATGGCGTACCAGAAGAGTATGTGTCGATCCTCCAATAGTTGTATCGTCATACCTCAGGTTAGGTTAGGGCTTATAGCCAGCTTTCGCTGCCCTTCGCCGTCTCCAGTATAGTTCGACAAAGCTGCCCTATATCCCCATTCCTTTTCATCTTTATCCCGGAGGATGTTCTACAGAATGCTTTGTCTAGCAAACGGTAAAGTTGAACTCCACCCAGGTAACAAAGTTCTTAACTTAGAATATGCCGTTAACATCGTCTTGTTAGGTGAAAATACACAAGCACTCCAACGAGTCTTAAACCGCTTGGCCATAGAGATGTCCACTGTAGACCTTTAAGCTACCAGAAGCATGCAGTTACAGCAACCGCAATACATACACACTTACATACTTTCGCGGCACTCCTTTGCGAATCAGCGACCCCATAAGGGATTCGCAGTCAGCTGAGTCAAAGGCTCTTTTTATTTCAAGGATCACTGCCCAATTCGAGGACTTGACGCAGAGAGATTTGGTCGATGCAACCGCGACCTGGTAGGAATCCTGCTTGGTGTTCGGGATATTCATCTCCCTTAAGGGTGTCAGGCGGCGAATTATCTCANAAACTAAACTAATCCCGTGGTGGTTGGCGCAGTCGTTGCGTGATCCATTCTTGAAGATCGGGAAGATCAACCATTCACCACAGGAGACAGGGATACGCTCCTCTACCCAAATGCTGCGAAGTAACCTAGTAATCGAGTCGACAAGAGAATCACCGCCTACCTTGAAAAGAATAGATCGAAACCTATCGGGTTTCGTAGCCTTCCCTTTCTTTACTGATTGAATGGAGCTTCGTACTTCCGATTCTGATGGGGGCGCTCATGTTACCAAGCATGGAGTTTCCGCTGCAATTGCCAGAATAACCGCATTAGCAATAGGCTAATTGAACTGTTCACTAAAACAGTCTGTCTAGCGATCAAGTCGTTGTTCTTTATTGTGGATACTCCGTCCACTTTTATCTCAAATGGTCTCACTGACCGGTATGGGACGACCTCCGGTACTGCGTATGAGGTGGAACAGTCTTTGACTATTCTCTGATGCAGTAGCTACCTCAATTTCACTAGCTATTTTAACCCACCAGTTTTCGCGATCTTTGTTTAGGTTTTTCCTCGGTTGGCATCACTCTTCCCTGCGCTGATCCTGGCAGATTGGGATCTTCTGCTTTTGATCCATCAGGATTACTTACTCCTGAGAGATCCAATGTCTTCGGTGTACTTCAGACTCGGTCCTACCAGCAAAGTTTGCTGCTGAGTACATCGTGAATCTAATTTGATTCCACCGCTGGTCTACTCCACTATATAGCGTTCTTCCAGCTTCTCCTCATAACGTGCACAGTCAGATGAATCGCGCAAATGATGATGAGCTAACTGAGGAGGCGATTTCTAGCGATGACCGATGAGTCGGAAAGTGAAGTGTAACAGAACTGGAGCATGATCCGACTCAACGAAAGTCGTCCAATAGGACCTGCAATTTTGCACTAAACCACTCCAACAGTAGCTATGCCGTCAATTTGGGTCAACTTTCCCGTTGCATTAGAACACCATGCAGCCGTTCGACGAGAGTCTTGTCGAAAGTCGATGCTAGGTAAGAACAACCAATGATTCGTGCAGAACTGAAGTAGTCGATCATCGTTGTCTGTTCGCTGGGTGGGAAGTGCTTCAGTTTTAGCTTCGGTTGTTGCAGCCCCCCTTTCAGGTTGGGACCCAAGGGATGAGGACTGTCTATGGTTAAAGACGCTAAGAGCTATGACTCAGAATAGAAGTCTGTGGCGGGAATGCTGTACGGTCTGCCCGTTGAAATCCCGCGCACCGTAAAACGTCGGCAAACTAACACACAAAAATGCTAAAAGGTTCACAGTGAAACACAAGAAAATTTGTTGTTATTCCTGTTATCTACTGTTATCCATTGTAACTGTTTAACCTTCTTTAAACTCCGTTCTTTATTCAATTCACTCATCTCCTGTTACTATTATTATTGTGACTTTGGTACCATGCTTGTCTGCAAGCCGGTAGTATATACTGGGTTTTGCATTATCGTTTCTCTCAGTGTTGATAATCTTCCATATCCCAAGTACATCTTTGAATCTGAGCCTGCAGTCAAAGACATCGTCAGAAATCTCCAACCAACTACCGGTCTTATCGAATTCCTTATTTGATCAAGGCTTTATTCTGTAGTAATCAATTTCTGTCCTGAAGGCGATTCAGTGGTTTTCTTTTCGCCATTTAGTAGCATGACATTTTCTCGGAGTTTACATCTTTTGCTTTAAGAGATTCGTTTTTGTGTAATGACAAGAAATCAAAATGCTCCATTTTTTATTCATTTATAATGTGATATCTTCTGGCTCAGCTGTCTGTAAATGTTTTTCTAACCGCATATTCGCACTGTAGGAGGATGTCCTCTCCGTGGATAAGCCTCGACTTCTACGTACTTTTGCGCGGGCGGTTCGCAATTGCCCATGGTCTGTGACACTTTGGTTGCGATACGCCCTAGCCACTGAGGTCACCGTGACTGAAGAGCTAGCGAATGGTGGAACTAACGGATTGGATGGCACGGAACACAGTGACGCAGAGAATCGGGCATTCGCTAAGGTGGAAGGTGAGTTTGATCACATAATGGTAGATTCGTTCGCGAGATGAGAACAATCTTGGTATGAACACCCGTGTATGTTATCATATTTTCACACACGCCCGAGTTTAGATTGTATAACAGACAAATCACGGTACGACAATCCTTATAAAAAGAAAAAGTTACATGATTTGCTTGAGGGCGACATAATGCCAGGTTGCCCAGGTCAAAGTAGGTGAAGTTTCTTGAGGAATCCACAACCGTAGCCTTCGGCTAGCCAAAGTCTGACCCGCAAGGCAGCGGGGTCGTGTGGGAAAACCGTAATCCATTGGGGCTCGGTGTGCAGTAAATCGTGCTTTGGCTTTTCGTCCTCTCTTATTTGATGGGAAAACATCGCTACGGAAAGGCACTGAGTAGAGCCTCCTCAGCAGAAACTGTTTGAGACGCTTGGTTGTATGGGATTACTTCACGAATCGCAAGGAAGAGGTGACCAGCNGAGCTCCATTATACGCACGCTTTCAAAGGCACCTCAAAAACTGGGAAAAAACCGTCCCATCACAACTCTTTGTTGACAAAATATTGAAAATCGGTTCTCTTAGCTCGGGTGAACTGAATTCCATTTCGCCTGTTCGCCGAGCTTGACAATTTGTTTGCAAACGTTTCATCACCAGCCGAGGTGACATCATCAGTGCTTGTGAAGTGGTGGTTTTCTGCTTGTACCCGTTCGTTTATATAAGTGTTCTCCACCGACTGTGTTTTATCCCTTGTTCGCACTGTGTTTGACTCGGTTCGCCGTTGAACTGGTGTGAGTGAGTGAGAGGAGGAGAGGAGGTTGTCCTTCCGTCCTGATTGCGGTTTCGGTCCGTTCGCAGGTCGCGATGTGACCTTTTTGTTGCGTCATTTGATCCGTGAGTTGCATTGGCTTTTACACGCGATCCAGTTCACTGTGCCCGTTTACTGAGTTGACTGAAGAGTGCCAAGCCTAGAGAAATTCCCTGGCGTGTTTTGACTGGGCTTGGTCGATAATCCTCTTTGCTCGGAAGTCAAACTGATGTCCTTCTTGATCTTCGTGGAGGGAAATCAGCGATAGTGGGTCATGTCTCCTGACTGCCGATTGGTGTTCACGGATCCTTGTTGACAGTTTTCTATCAGTCTGTCCGATATAGTGTTTTGGGCAGCTCTTGCAGTTTATTTCGGAGATAACACTGCTCTTGTCCTTCTCCATTGTTCTCTCCTTTGGTTTTGACAGAAGTTCCCTTAGACAGACGATCGGTTTGTGGGTGACTTGGTTTCTATATGATCTGAACAGTCTTGCCGTCATTTCCGAAACGTCCTTGGTGTACGGTAGGGTTATTCTTGTTCCCTATTCTTCGTCTGTTATTTCTTTCTTCGGCCAGAGTTCTTTTGCGTGCTTTATCCAGGACCATTTCGCCTCATTTGCACGTGTATACATCGTAGTGAATGTGATTCTGATAATCATCAAAGCAACGAAGATGATTAATAACAAGGAACAGCACAAATTGGAAGGTTTGTTAGATCTAACGTGGCCCACTCTTGTTTTGGTGTCATACGGAACCGGATCAATACCGCTACACGCCCATAATCACTTCTCACACATTTAGACAAGTAAGATAGATTAGCTGGAATTGTTCTCTGCTTCTTTCCACACGCTCGGTTAGCGTTCACGCGCTGTTTAGATTCCACAGGCAATCAGCGAAAGTGTTCACTTTAACTCCCCTCCCCTCTCGTTTGTTTCTTATCTTCCCACAGCCGTTTTTGAAACTGCTGTGATTTCAGGTTTTCAGGAGCCATCCAATCTATTGCAGTTATGGGTTGCTTATTGCGATTATCGTCTGCGACGTTTGCTTCGTACCGAGAAGAAATCAACTGAATGGGGTAAGCCAACGTGGACTGGTGTTCATCAGTCTGTCGCTTACTTGTAACTGAAAATATTTCGCATATTTCTGAAAGAAAAGCACCGTTTTTTGGTATTTCTAGTTGTGTATTGATTCAATAGCTTATTTTTTTACGACATTGCTCACTTAGGAAATGTTTGTGGCCTTTCTCAACTGTTCAGCTACAGCAGTCTTTCGCATAGTTTCTATCGATATCAAAGCAGTCGTACCAGATCAGTTGATAAATAAACAAATTACATAAGAGATAACTGGAAAGAGTGCTCAAGTGAGATGATTCAGTGCCTAGCTTTTACCACTGTGCGCTCTGATAACGATCGTTCATCACTTTGGTCGTTTGAGGGACCCCACTTACAGTCACCAACCGTGTGGCTTAAATTAGTAACTGCAATGCTCATTCCCACGAGAGGTTTTGATAAAATCCTCCCCCTCCCTTGTCAGATGGTAGCTCTGCGATCATGTTTCTCATTTAAAACCTGGGTGATTTGATTACTTTTGTTTTGTGTGCGCGTGCGCGTTTAGTTTAGTTAAAACTGACAACTTTCTTTAATGTTTGAAGGAACGATTTGATGTCATCAGGGGAAATCCAGTGTGCACAGTAATTAAAGGGCATTGTGAATGTCCGCAACAGAGCACTGTACATCTGCTTCTCCCTAATTGGAACTAAACAAAAGTGCGTATAATTTTTATCCTCGATGTAACTTTTGTTTTGGAGGCCGGAACCCTTACGTCTGAGCTGCATAAGGAGATCAGTGTCTGTGAAGTCGAATAGGCCGATCGCCATCATCATCAGTAGGTACCTTTCTTTCTTGCGAATAATCGAGCAGTTTCACAAAACGGTTTGGTGTGATTGGTTTCACCTAAACGCCTATGTATTGCCAGTATTACTTGTTCAAGTAGTTCTGTTCGGCCAATTACGGAAGACCAACAGCATAAATTCAACAAATAACCCAACCTTGATAACTGTAAATTAGCAGGATGGTCAGTATAACACGTCACGTAGTGCTAAAAAAATGTAACTTAACATTCCATCGGGAGCCACCTCTGTAGACCCCATTGAATATGTTTTAGTGTAAGGATGAAGATCATACACGTTCCGTTGTTATTTTATTGGAATGATTCGTGCAACCATAATGGAACTAGTTAGAACCAGTAATGCCATAAGTATACCGGTGTGTTGTTTTAAAATCCTTGTTTAATTATTCAATAAACCAATAAATGTCCCCCGTTTTTTTCTCGCTTGTCGCAGAAATTCAGTTGTCCAACCTGCGGGATACATTTACTCGTGCATCTTCCGAACTGTTCCAACGTGAGTATTCATTATGTTTTCAGTTTGTTGTACGGCGGGGCCTTCCAATCTTGGCCGCGCTATGCGTTTTTCCATCATAGGATTATTCGCTACATAACCATCACTGTCTGCGTTTTTTGCCTCATTCGCATGAACTTTTACCTTGGTTGCCAAGGCGACTGCTGTGAACAATTTGGTCAAATGTGTTCAATCAAATGGAACAAATGTGTAGCTGTTACCTATTTTGGGAGAATAGTAAGGAATAAAACCAAAGGAGTGTCAAGAAGCCACCGAAAAACCCGATAAGCATCGCACCGGTTTGAGAGTTGCCCTTCGGAAACAAACCATCTCCCGTTTGTGTCACCATCATTCTCAGTGATAACGTTTGATCGCTTGTCGGAAATATGACCAATCTCATCAACTTAACCAAACTACGGGAATGTTCTTAGCTAGGTGTGATTACGCCTCAAGAAGGTTGGCTTCACAACGAATTTTGAAGATGAAATTGTACACCTTAAGGGTTCGCTAGCTATGGTGTTGATCGTCCTGTTCCTTATTCCAGAGGCGATGGTGTCATCACATTTGTCAAAAATCAGCGGTATCATGTGACCAAAAATGTATTCTCTTAGTCTACACTATGTACAAACGCATCAATAGTTCAATGTAAGCCCAAACATTTCGGCTTTTCCGAGTCACTCATTCTTGTGAATGTAAATATTGCCCCCTGTTGTTGATCTAATGTTCCTAATGATTTTTATGACACTCTTTCAACTACATTGATTGAACATGTAGGTATTTCAGTTTTTATTATTTGTGGTGACTTCAATAATTCTGATATCCGTTTCCTAATCACTTTACGTCCGAAATATTGTCACCTCTCCCATCAGATTTGATGCATATCTGGATTTGGGTTTTGTCAACCTTCCTAATTTGCTTTTTGTAGAACGCCGTTCCCCATTAGGGCTGTGTGGGAACTCTGTTTTAGTTTTCCACTGCCATATTTAGCACAACGAACCGCCATCTCTTTACTCGAAATCGTGATCACAAGCTTCAAGTAAGACAGCGTTCTCCAGAAAACCTCACGTGGTTAGGGGGAGTGATCAGGCGCTCCGACCTTACTTTGTTTTCCGATCCCAACCCCTGTGATCACCTAACAAGTTACTGAAAGTTTCTACGATGTTTGCTGTCCATCAGAATCAATTTATATCCGCCCCGATCGATTCTCATCCCAACAGCCAAAGACGTGTTCCTTCAAAATGCATGAGCGCCGCGAGGTACGCCCTCTTTCTAAATCCTTCAGGGTTGAACTTCGTAGGCTTAACTCTTCGTGTACGCTTGTGCTCAGCTTGACAACAAAGGTAGTGGTGAGACTTGGCA